TCTGACAAATCAAAATTTCAGATTCTTTTTGGAAATCATGGACGCCACGTCCTCCGGGCTAAAGAGGAGAGGACCATCCAGCTTATCATCAGCAGACAGTTCAAAAACAGCATCCGTGATGGGATGGGGGTGCATTAGTGCCCATGGCTTGGGTACCTTACACATCTGGGAAGGCACCATTAATGCTGAACGATATATACAGGTTTTGGAGCAACATATGCTGCCATCCAGACAACGTCTTTGTCAGAGAAGGCCTTGTATATTCCAGCAAGACAATGCCAAACTGCATTCTGCACGAATTACAACAGCATGTCTCCGCAGTAGAAGAGTCCGGGTGATAGACTGGCCTGTCTGCTGTCCTGACCGGTCACGCATTGACTTTGGCGCACTATGAAACGAAAAATACAACAAAGGAGACCCCAAACTGTTGAACAGTTGAAATCCTCTATCAGGCAAGAATGGGATGACATTTCACTTTAAAAACTCCAGCAGCCGGTCTCCTCAGTTCCCAGACCTTTATAGAGTGTTAAAAGAGGTGATGCAGCACAGGGGTCAATGGGCCCCTACCCCAGCTTTTTTGAAACGTGTTGTTGGCATCAAATTCAAATTGAGCATATATTTGTCATAAAACAAATCAAGCAAATGCCTAGACTTTGTTCTATTTTCAGTCAAATATGGGTTTATATCATTTAAAAATCATTGCATTCTGCTTTTATTTACATTTTACACTGCATCCCAACTTTTTTGTAAATTAGATTAGATTAGATTAGACTTTATTAATCCCACAATGGGGAAATTCTTTGAGAAACGGCAGCAATAATGAAAAAGACAGCACAAAAAAGGACAGGATCCACAGGATCAGCAAAAAATAACAATACAGATAATAAAAATGGGATTGTAGTTAAAAAATAATATGTTTAATTAAGATCCATCATTCCATCATCTGCTTATCTAGTATTGCACTTAAGTGCACAAGACAGTTAATTAGACAGTTAGTTTGTTATCGAGATGATTTTTTAAAACTAGTCCACAGTCGACCCTTTTCCCACTAACAGCTTTTCCACAGATAATCACTGCACTTCATTTGGACACGTTTCGTTTGGAGTCCTCTGCCTTAACCTGGATGAGTGAGAAGCTTTATGTTTTCAGCAAGATCTACTTGACACTCTGTACTCTGTGTATGAATTTCATGTGAAAAGATGGTCATTTATCAACAGAAAATCACCATAAATATCCATAAGTCTATGCAGCTGCAAGGACTCTGTGATTCTTTAACCTTTCTTGTTTTAATATATAAAAATACTTGATTATTTGATTATTACACTTTGACCAAACAGCGTACGCTAATATAAGTGTATGAATACACACCCCTCAGAACCACGCCACTGCACTTTGATTTACACATGACAACAGAAAAATGTAGATTTTCCTGCCACATTTTGCTCTAAAAGCTGAATTAAAGCTCTAAAATTGTGTCCAATCTCCACAACTCACCCAAGGAAGAAAGTGCCTTCCAACTGCGCACCAATATATATAATCCCGTGGCTGGAGCCTGAGTTTGCAGTTTCAGCAGCATTCTGTTGGACTGCACAGGCTGTTATGGAGGGAGGGGAGTCCCACGCTTCTCTGATGGGATGTCAGTAACAATGGCCAGGCTTCCAAGATAATAAATCCTCCATCCACCCATCAACTTTTGCCTTCTTATTCAGTACAGGGTACCAGGCGAAAAAGAATACAAGCAACCTTGAAATGTATCTTTCTTCTATTAATTAAATATGATTACAGGCTTTTTATTCCTTGAAAATGTATCTGTTTTTGTTGTTAGGTACATTTATGACTGACATATCTGTTTAAAGATAAGGTCTATGTAATCACTCTGCGTGTCTTTAGTGTACTTTTCAGAAAGGAACCTTCCATCATCATAATAAGACTTTTGTTGGTTTGCCAGCAATTTACAAAAGTGTGTAATTAAAACTGAATTGTTTATTATTTTTTTCAAAGGTAACTTTTTTTCTAAAATGGTTAAAGAACACCTATGGGAGATTTTCAGATGTATTTATGTTAAGCCAAAGCTTCTGCTTTAGTAGTTTGAAAGTCAAAGACAACTTTATTGTTATTGTGCACATACAAGACGAAATGAAGTAATCAGCTGCCTTAGTACAAGCATCACACATAGAAATAGTATTAAAATGGACATAGAATAGAATAAATAATCAGGGTCATACATACATATACATGCGTATACATTTATGTGTCTGGACACATCTGCTTTTAATGCATTTGTCTCTGTTTTAGCTGTGTTATTCACCTTATAGTAAAATGCCTCAAGGCAATGAAAGATGTAGCCGCCTGGAATGCTTCTCCAACAGACCTGAAGGAGTTTCCACAAGTTCTGGGCACAAGTTGGCTTCCTTGCTCTTACTCTTTGATCCAACTCATGCCAAACCAGCTGTGTGTGGTTTAGGTCGGGGGAGGGATTGTGGGGGGGCAGGTCATCTGTCACAGCGCTCCACATCTTTCCTTCTTCACAAGATATTACTCACTACATAATCTCGAGGTGTGCATAAGGTTGTTTTCTAACGATTTTCAGTACAGTGGGTGTATCCAGATTTTGACTGGTACCGAATACATTATATACACAGATGACCCAAAACATTATAACTACCCCCACCCTACAGATGGTGCACATCAAGGTTCGGGATACGCCACACGGTAAGTTAACGTTCAGTACTCACACTGAACATGCTGAATGCAGAAGAAATGGGCAGAGATAATGATCTGAGTGACTCTGACAAGGGCCAAATCATTACGGCCAGACATGTGGGTCAGAGCATCTCTGAGACGGCAAGGCTTGCGGGTCGCTCACGGTCAGCCATGGTGAGCCTGCCGAGGTAGGAAAAACTATGAACCGCCGACAGGGACATTGTTTACTATTAATTTTGATTTCATTACACATGAAAAGTACAAACAGAAGCGGGCTGGGGAGCAGTTTAAATCCCAATAAAGAGAGTTACTTATTTATATAAATGGTGATGGGAATTTGGGATATTCTGTCTAGCAGTGTCATGGATGTACAGTTTGTCTAATTATTTGTACTAAATCTTATTTTACAAACACCGAACGATTAAACAGAAGCTTTAAGTTTTGTGATATTCTTAACCCTTTTTTGTTTCTGCACATCTATGCCAGTCCAATTCAATTCCAGTTCAGTATTTGCGTTGATTACGTAAGAACGAACGGGAAAAGCAGTGTAACCGACACAGGAGCATGAGGGACCAGAAGAGGATGTTTCTACAGATTTGCTGATCTACAGGCCTTTTCTGACCATGCAATCCTGGTTCATTAGAAGGCCTTGTGGTCTGACACAGCAGCAGAAAGCCCTTATACACACTGCAATATAAATAACTTTTCCATCCATCCATCCATCTGACGTAATGCTGGATCTTATAGCTTCTGGTGGCGAAACTCAAACAGATAAGTGGCTGAGAATCTGCCTTATATAGGAAGGTTCATAAAATTGAGCTTTTGTAAGATGGTCCTTTATATGCTTCAAGATCTTTGCTGTGAAAGATTATTTTTTATAGGATGGATGTTGTTTTCAGTCTGTCACCTGCAGTTTTTAACTCCATACCCGAGTTAGAGTATAATGCTATCTCAGACCCAAATAAGTGAAACAATGGCACAGCAACAGTCATATTTTATCTAGGCAAAAGGCAAAGGACTCGGCTTGAGGGAGCAGCTCTGATTGCTGTCCTGGGATTTGAGCTTGTAACTTTCAGCCACAGCTCCGCTCCTGTAGTCAGCGCACGCCCTGCTCAAAGTTACCCTGCACTCGGTCTGAAAGGACCACTGTCCTCGTCTGTAGCTGCTAAAATTGGTCAATCAATGGCCCATTCCCTGAGCTGGACGAAGAGTCGCGTTCATGAATCATTCTCCTTCCTGAACAAAGCTGCACCCGAGTTCTTTCATATTACTTGCAACATTTTAAAGCCGCGGTCTGTGTTTCACACATTCTTATTAATGTAGTAGTGTTTTCTGCACCATAGTCTGCGTCACTGTCACACTTCCTGTGCACATGTCCAGTTGTACTTTACTGTTTTTCTTTATAGAAACAGTTTTCATCAAGTTACATTAAAAAATGTAAAATTCATGGGAATCGGAAAAATGAAACATTAAAATTAGATGCTTTTGAGCATTCATTTTATGTACTGGACTCAATTCTATTATGTAGGCCTACAACAAAGCTACCAAGGCACACATTTTAAATATGTTATATATATATATATAGTTATTCTGCCTATATTGCTTTAGATTTGCTGAAAGTTCGTCTAACTTGAATGTGCCAAGATTACAGCAAAGACACTCGCACATAAACTCATTTGAATTCATTCTAATGTTGACGGACAAAAGTTATGTTCACGGGACTGAAATGTGTCATGTGCGCTACAAAGTTATATTACAAGGTTAATGTTTGAAAACAGAAAATCCATCCTTAAATTGAAAATATTTCAAGACATTGTTAAAGAGAACCGAAACACCCCGTACGTTCTTTTTTTTTACTTGATTGATTTTTCTCTAGTGGATGAAAAAACCGTAGGGATTCGGAGTGGAATCTAGGTTACAGTAGGTATTATTATAGAACCAGATTGTACGGTTTTACTGTAAATCTAGAACCAACTCAGAGCGTAATTTCTAATCACAACCAAGGATTAATGGGAAACAACAAACATGCATCATCGTCTGAAATGGCAGCATTTTGTTAAATGAAAAGATGACCTGAAATGCGACCGTGACTTTTTGATCAAAGCTGCAGTATGAAAACATATTGCCACAGTAAATTATGCTGGCTTTGCAGAAACCTGACAGCTTAAACACGAATGCTCAAAACGCCTTACATGTAAACATTCACTTCGATCACACGTAAATCTTGTCAAAAACAAATTAAAGTTCCCAGCCCGATTAAAGAAAAGAGAACCGCATGCAGCGGCATTTCACACTACCTGGTTAATTTGTTCCGTTGGACCGAAAGGAGCAATAGCACGGCCAAAGCTGATGTGATTATCTCCATATCTAAAGCTTTACAAAGTTCTCCAGAACTGAATGGCAATCGATCAGGAGGTCACGGCAGCAAAGTGGCTAGCATGCCTGCCCTGCGAAGCGCAGTAGTTGGGAGCAGAGCGCGCCTCTTGCCACCCATACCCAGCGCTGGTCCCGGCGCGGCGCGCGCGATCCTCTCCCACTGAACTCGCCTCTAATAGAGTTGACTGGTGCAGTCGCTGTAAAGCCCCGATCACACAAGCGCACACACACACCCACACACACGCAGCACAGACCGCTCGTGAGAGCAAGAGAAATCATCATCCGGTCGCCTGCAGTAACCTATAAGCGTTATAATGGCAGTCAGCGATGTCTTCACACCATCCTTATAAATAATTCGGATGCATTGTTTGCAAAAAAACATAACAGCATAGTTTCACAATAATAATTATTATTTTCTGTATTTTTTCTGTCTTACAAGGTTCGGAAATATTTCCAGCCAACCTTTGTGAGACACTAACATAAGTTTGACTTATCTATTGGTTTGTGGGTTATATAATCATTGACAGCGAATACATTTCATAGCTTCAGATAATTTGTCTTCACTAAAATTCAAATTTCTGCTTTCAAGCGGACAATTAAACGGCGGCAGTGCGTTGTATGGATAGCCTATATTCTGAACGCACATCCACAGTTAATATCACCTTGCGTATTACATTGTTTTTTACGATTCATTTACTGATCGGAGTATCCAAGGCGACTGACATCCACGTGCCGTTTTTCTCTTTAGTCCATTAGATTGGTAATTTGAGTTAACTACCTCACTTTGAGATGAGGTTATTTTTCTGTTAGTACTGTAACCCTTCATCCACAAGTTCAGCCTCTTAAACAACGAATCCACGATTGTTACATGTGTCCGGGGATAAATTGGACTCAAATGACTGAGCAGGGTTTCTTATTTAACCACTAGGTCACTGTAATCCTATCCAAATCGTTAAGGGAGAGTTCAAATGGCTAATGTGCATTTTCCCCCAATACCGTACCTTATCTGATTGACTAAACTATCGGTTTGGTAGTGCATGCTTTTATAAAATGCAACTCACAGCGTTTGTGTGTGTGTGTGTGTGTGTGTGTGTGTGTGTGTATATATATATATATATATATATAACATAGTATTAATTCGTAGGTTAATCAACAAAACTGATGATGCAATAATGGGATCTCAATGCAATATAAGTCTAAATCTTCCATCATGACAAGTTTATCAGTTTATCGCAGTAATCTACACATTAGGCCAGTAGAACTTGCCAAATAATAATACATTCTGTGGTATTTTTTACCCCAAATTTGAATATAATTACTCTCTGACATTGCTTAGCTGTACCAAGACTGCACATATACTCAGCATAGTTTGAAAGCAAGCAGTGGATCACAGTTCACTCTCACAATTAAGCTATATGAATATCTGGTTCTCCAAAAAAGGTATTAAGTTCAATTTTGAGAGATATTTTTACTTTGTGCTTTGCTTGATTAGGGCACTGAACTAGTACATATGAAAGATGCAGAATGTGGAATATCGCAGGCAGAAATCCAAATTTAGACTTTCTGTAATTGTGCTGTTTTCTCAGGTACATATTACCAGGCAACTCTTTATATTTTTTGCTTAGCACAATCACAGCATTTCACCCACTAATTTATAGACATTTTATTTTAATTTTATCACCATATTTTTACAAGTATTATTCACGCTGGACCCCTTTGAAATTTTTTTTTTTTTTTGGAGTGGGGGGGGTACGTTATCTGTTCTAATGCATGAACTAGATGTGTGAAATATATTCATTGTATAGTAAGAAACTGCTGTTTCTAGCTGAAAAGTGAGGTATCTGCTACCTTTGCGTGTCAGTTTTGTTTTCAACAATAATCTCAAGTGACACAGCAGTGTAGAGATGTTGTGGATAAGCACTAAAAAATCTCTTTTTTTTTCAGCTGGGATACAGGAACATTCATATCCAGCATGTCTGATATTATAAAAAAACGCTCCATCTGAAAAAAAAACTCATAGAACAAATCACATACAGTTCTGTGCAAAAGCCTTAAGCTGTCAAAGGAAATGTTTAAAACTGTTTATCTGTGTAGTAATTGCATATGTGCTCAGAAAAAAATCTCAATTTAACATTAGAAACATACAAATGAACAGTAACACAATAAAAAACTAACAAAAATTTCTTCAGTTCTGCAAAAAGTTACTGGTATCTTGCTGGATGGCTGGATGAGCAGCGCTTCAGTTATGGCATGCTAGTGGTCCAGTCAAGAAATATTTGAGTGTTTTTCGATGGTTACTGCAATACTGGGGTGACTTTTGGGGAGGTTCTGTTAATGTCTAAGCTGATACACTTTGACAGACATAAAATCACACCAAATGTCAACCATAATTTAGATATAATTTTCTTTGGCACCAAGACTTGTGCACCATAATGTAATTGAGCGCAGTTGTGCCGTATCCTGATGTTTGTTACATTACCCACAACACACACATACAAAACATCTACAAATGGTGCAAGCAGAACTAGCATACTTTATTTGAGTAATTAAAAATAAAATCTAATACTGAATTTCTAAAAATTATGTAAAGAACATTTAACCGGTCTAACAAGTGCAAGATAGGGTCGACTTTATTCATGGAGGGCACTACACAGTTATTATATTGTAGCTGAAGAGTAATGTATCATTTGGAATGAAATAGTTGTTTCCAACAAGCTGTATTTAACAGAAATTACTATATTTTTGCACCTTCTAAAAGATCCTATGGAGGACAAGGGAGTTTAGGAAACAAACGGATGTATGTATGTATGGATGGATGGATGGATGGATGGATGGATGGATGGAACATATAGTAAGAGAACTTAAAATATGTAGTTCAAACAATGATGTATGTAAAGTTCCATTGAAAAGAATTCTGATATTGTTGCTGTTTTAGTATATCTGTTAAATTGTTTGCTTGCCCTAGAAGAGAAACTTTGTCATCTGGCCAATGGGGGAATTCCAGAAGCAGATTCTGCAGTAACGTGGATGATGAGGAATTATAGGTGACATTTTCTGTAAGCCTTGGCAGGCCACCAGAGGACCATCTTTCCAGCTTTTCTTCACTTACAGCTGGTCATAGGTCCTGCATGACCTTGTAGTAACAGATGGACAGCCAACCCATGTGACCCTTTAAATGTGTGTGTGTGTGCGCATGTGTGTGTGTGTGTGTGTGTGTGTGTGTGCGTGGATTATGTTTATATTGCATTGTGGGGACCAAATTCTCCCCACAATGTGATAAAAACCTGTTATTTTGATGCTGTGGGGACCATTTTTCAGGTCCCGTCAAGGATCTGTGAATGCAATCAAAAAACTAAAAATGCCACAAGTCTCGTATTTTGTTTGGTTACTTAGGGTTAAGGTTAGAGCTGGGCAGGGGTTATGAGTGTCGTTGAAGAGATTAGAGTTTTGCCCATAGAAATGAATGAAGAGTCCCCACAAAGACATCATTACAAACCTGTGTGTCTATGTGTGTGTGTGTGTGTGTGTGGGTGTGTGTGGGTGGTATATATATATATATCTTCCAGGCCCACCTGGTACTTTGAGGGGTGGTTGTGCAGGCGTCTCAACTGCTTCCCAACCATGCCGTGTAATTTGTATTCAGATCGTGTCCTACAGTGCTCTTCCTGTTTGGTCTGCAGGCCTGTCCATTGCAGACAGTAAAGCTGACTTAAACAACTGCAATCCTAACTCCATAACACTTCACCACCACAGCAGGACAATGCCTGTCACATCTCATTGTTGTAAAACCATCAGTATGTTGTTTTATTATTCTAAATAAAAAACACAAAAAGCTCCTGATCAGCTCACACCTCCTTATTCAAAAAATCTCGGTTTTAAGCAGATTTGAATCAGTCCAGAAATATAACAAGCCATCCGCTTCCCTTATCTTCTGCAGCAGCTGTGACAGGCAGCTATTGTGTGTTTCTAAAAGCAAAACAGTCAGTGATTATAATTAATATTTTAAAATGTGAAGACTGATGTTTTCATAAGAAGCAAGTATTCAACCACAGCAGATTTTTTCAGCTCCCCCATCACAGAAGTTCAAATGGGTTCTTTTGTTCAAATCTCTTTGTCAGCAACATTCTCTTCTATAGAAATATACTAAAGAGAAAATACAATTAAATGAATTTAGATAAGGGAGGGGCACAGTGATTAGCACTGTCACCGCACCGTCACGACCTGGGTTCAAGTCTCCGATAGGGTTCCATGTGTGTGGAGTTTGCATGTTCTCCCTGTATCATCATGGGATTTCCTTCAGGTGCTCCGGTTTCTCCCCTACGGAGCAAAAACATGCTGAGGGGAATTAGAGTTACCGAATTGCCCATAGGTGTGCATGTGTGAGTGAATGACATCTTTTCACATTATTTAGGTATTAAGTTTTATGCCATTTTATTTCATCTCTGACTGCAGTGCTTGTCTAAATGTTCCTGGGTTATTACTAAAGGATGATTAGGACTTCTATGGCTGTTTTAATGCTTTTTATTTATTGTTTTTTGCCTTTACTGTATTATTTTAGATAACTGTGCTTACTTGGCCATTTTATTACATAAAAAACATTACAAATTACATAAAAAACATTCAAAATACAGTAGAGACCCTTTACATCTGATGAACCCAAATAGCTGTCTAAGTTGAAGTGGTTGAAACCTTGACATAAATAGACAAATGTAAGAACTTCTTTCTTGGACATGATGACAGTTCATTGCAAGGAAAAGATATATTTCAGCTGTATAAGTACTTCAGATGGGTGCTTAGAAGGAGACTGGGTGACTGTCAAAGTGTTTCCTCCAGTAAATAAATATCTGGAATAATATTTCACGTTTACCGAATGAGTTCATCACATGACATCAGTTTAAATAGGGTTGTGAATGATCATTGAACCTTCACCGGGTTAGTTTAGAAACCCTAAGTTAGAGGCTAGATGGATAGATGATTATTGGTAGAAAACCTCTGTCCTTATGATCGCAAGTTTGCCAGTTCAAATCCCATGTTGGGAAGAATGGTACGTTGCATCACTGTTGGGACCTTGAGCAAAGCATTTAAATTGAAAAACTGGTCCAAGGCACCAGGATTAACGACTGACCCGACCCTGCACTCAGACCCCAGGCCTCCTTCCCACCTGTATATGTGTATGTCGTAACAGAGAGCATGATGGGATATGTGAAGACTAAGGCATTCCAATAGTAAAGTAACTTATGATATAACAATAGACCACCAAAGGCCTTACAGGCAATAGTATTCTGTGCATTACAGCACATTTCGAAGACAATGGTGTCTATAATATAATATATATAATATAATGGTACAAATGCATGAAGTATAAAAATTATGTAATCCTGTTATAATTTAATGATTTAATCCTGTGAAGGCTAAATTACATTAACTGACAGAAAAAGTAAATTATTTCCAAGCTTAAAGCCAAAACACACACACACACACACACACACA